ATATATAAATTATATATAACCTTTTTTTTTTTTTTTTTTAACAAGGTAAAAAATATATTTACATTAATATTATTAAGGTCATTCGCATTTAAATACTTTTCTCTTACTATTTGATCGTCAGCTATAAGCAAACTCTAATTTTTTCTACTTTATCAGCATATAATAGGTAGAATTCTACCGTGTCTTCGTATTAATTTCAGATACTAGATAGGGAATACTTTTTACATTACAAAACTTTTTTAAAGCATTGTTTGTTGGTTTTGATGATCTAATATATGACATCAACATTCTTACTTTTGAAATCAATTTATCTACATGCTTAAACCCCTGATTAACTACAAGATTTAAAATATGGACAATGTATCTATAATGCGAAAATTCAAGATTATCAAATTTTTTTTCAAGTTCTTCTATTATAAATTCACTACATATAATCATTGATAAAGCATTGTCAGTAGTGAAGGCTAAGATTTTTTTCCAAACCAAATTCATGAAGGACATTCATTATGGCATTAGCCATATTGGAGCCTGTATGTTACACTTTCATTAGAATAATATCTAAGAGGAAACTATTTAGTTTCCAAGAAGAATCAATAAAATGGAATGTTAGACTAAGAAACGCAGCACAGTTAGATGCAGTCCACATATCAAAGATGAATGACACTTTTCCAGTAATTTGTGAGAGTACTAATTTTACTTTCTCTCTTTTATTTTCAAATAGAGCTATAATATGATCCTTTTCTGTATAACGATTATGGAATTGATAACGTGGGTCAAATTTTTTTATCATATCCTGCTATTCTTTGCATTCTATAACAGTAAAGGGTTGCAAATCACACAATATCTATTTTGTTATAGCATCATCACGCTCTCGCCATTCTTCTGTCGAATAAGAGATATAATGATTTTTAACTACAGTTTTATTTTTTTTTATTTTGGTGTATTAATATCATGAACTTCCAGATATCACCTTAATGTTGAGGTACTAGTGTTCTTTTCATATTTTGATGGGCATCTTTTACACTTCCATTTTCCAGACTTTTTAATTTTTTTAAAATATTTCCACATAGTTGAGAGTTCTTTTTCTTTTTTTGAGAACTGTGAATTTACATAATTATCTGAATAGATACTAGTTGATGAATCACATTCCTCACATTTATTAATTTCATTATTATCCTCATCATCAATCACAGAATTTGAAAATCAGTACTCATTATTTTCTTGAGTAAAGGTAAGAAATTGATTATTCGTATACAACAATTATGAAAATGATATATAACTATTATGATTTAACTTTGCGATTTAAAAGTGATGAAGTTCAAAAAAAAAAGAAGAATTCACAATTTTTTGGAACACTTTTTAATAGGTCACATTGTATAAAAATTGAGTCATAATTTTATTATGCAAAAATAAAAGAAAAATGTAATTTAATCTCTGCATTTTCAGGGATAATATAACATTATATTTTTATTAAGAATCATTGAACTTTTATGCATTAAATACATTATTCATTCTAATACGAATGTATGACCTCAACACTTAATTATTTAAGACATCTTCTTTAACAATAGAGGCCTATACAGGTTGAATTTAAAAAATTTTAAGCATAGATCAAATCTATTAAGTGTTCTTAATTACCTAAGTCAATCTGTCGAAATGGATCTGAGAGCAAATTTAATTAGTACATATGATACGTGTAATAAAATAGAGTAATTTATATATAAGAAAATAATAACATATAAAAGCCAAAATTTTGAAAAATATTACAATCAAGGTCAGATTGCAAGTTTTTTGCATAAAATTATATAAATGTAATTGTC